CTAATTAAAGATAAAGGTGAAATGGAATTGCTAGATGCAATTTGCTAACAAGAAACCGATCCGAAAGACAAGAAAATCATTAAATGAATGACTATGATTGAATATAATTTTCTCAAGGTCGTTGAAACAAAGGCAGACGTAATGTCTCTAATGGTGGTGTCTGAAGTGTTATGATGGGTCATTTCACGCGACAGATCTCCTTTGTGTCAATGTGTGTGTATTCCGCGTGTAAGTCTATAGTAGCCAGATGCCACAGTCGTTGTTTCCAACGTGACAATGCTGTCAGTCTTTTGAGCACCCTACCCTGAGGATATTTTTTTCGATGCCTTTAGTTAGCTTTTTCATTTCCAATATTTTATATGTTATCTTATATAGATAAGTCTATGTTAAGCAGTGAACCTCTTGTGGCTCATAAATGATGATGAAGTACAATACATTCTCATAATGTTACTACCATAGATATAAATCCAACTATGAAGTGGAAACTATAATTTTTCTTCTTCTCCTCTTAAAATATCTTGTGTTTTATTTCGTTGCAAAATCCAAGACAGTTCATTCATGTCTGCGGGACCAGCCTGATATTAATGTTCTGGTGTTTTCTTGGTTATATTTTCTGTATTACGTTATATCCCGGCTTACAGGAGTGGCAGCGGTTTTGGGTTGTAGTTTGGGTTGTGGCGGGCTTGTCCCTATATAATTCATCTATCAATTATTTCGGAGCCACGGAAGACTTGTCAGATTGCCGGGACTCCGGCTCGACGAGCAGGTGTAGGAAAGGGGTAGTTTATAGTGAGTAAGAGCCTGGCACTCCGTCTTGGCTACCAAAGGCAGGATGTCATTGAATGATGATAATAAAGCTATCAATTATAAATATTTGATTGCAGTTTCTTAGTGTACCGCTTGTGTCTCAAATTTGGAGCGTGAAGAACATAATTTTAATAATATACTTGACGGTGAAATGTGAGAGCTTATATGCAGCCATGAGAGATGTAGAGAGTACTTGTGTGCTTTTTATGAATTTGAGCGAATGTTCTGGTAAGCATTTCTTCATGTTCTGTTAAACACGGGATACAAAAATTGCGCAATATTAAAACTATTAAATCTAGTTCGCTTTGTTCTTCCCTCGTCCGGCCGTTCAATCACCAACAATCTGCAATTTTGAATACATCTTTGAAGTTACTAGCGATAGATTTTCCCATGATTTATGAAATATTATATAATATGTTACAATTTAAAGACCAGACCGAGCATTGCATTTTTCGAGGACGCTATTCTTTTTGGGACATATCATCATCATCATCCTCATCAACAGCCTATAAATGCCCACTGCTGAGCAAAGCCTCTTCTCACACGGAGAAGGTTTGAGCATTAATCACCAGGCTTGCTCAATACGGGTTGGCGATTACAAACTTATAATTAGAAATTATAAGCCCAGTTTTTCTCACGATGTTTTCCTTTACCGTTTGTCAGTGGTGTCTGAATAATCTTAGAAAGTACATATAACTCGGAAAAAGTCACTTTGGTCCTTGCCGTTGGTAAGTTTCGAACCCGCACCCTCATGCATGAGAAGCGGGCGTCTAAAACCTCCGGGCCACCACGACATGTGTAGGGGTTCAATAGAACCTCAAGTTTGTAGGGTTGCCACCTTTGTCTCCCGGCCGTAATCTGTGACCAATTTATCGTGGCCTCATTTTGTATTATCTATCCGTAGATTGTCCACATATACAATTGCCTCAAAAGTAAAATAGCGTCCTCTAACAAATGCAAAACTCATGTAACATTTCAATCGACTATTTATTTAAGCATCTTTATTATAATCTTTCTTATGGTATGAAACGAGCAGACGGATCACCTGATAGTAAGTAATTGGCGCCGCCCATGGACACCCAAAACACCAAACAACATTAACTGGTAATGTTGCCGGCCTTTTGGGGATTACGAATATGAGGATTGTTGGGATTTGGGGGAAATTGGAGAGGGGGTAATCGGGCATCCAGTAACGTCACTCACATGACAAAGACAACGCAAGTGTTATTTTACGTCAGTTTTCTATAACGCCGTGGTATCACTCCGGTCTAACGGGCCCAATCGTACCGAAACTTGGCTCTCCCACATTTAAAATACCATATACCTATCTACTCCTAGCTATAATATCCTCTCGCGCGTCTCGTACACGGGTGTAATAGAAAGCGAATGAACTATTCTGTTCAATCAAATAAAGAACGGGTTGCAACTTGAAAATATACATCACAGAAAAAGTTTCCAATCGGTGCAAGTCACTCTCGTACACCCGTGTGTACAAGAAACGTGCGAGAGGATATCATTGGTAATAACAATATTCTGATTAACAATTCTATGTTCTCTTATAGTTGCTGAAAGAAGGTTATACAAAAAAGTTTTTCATTTACAACAGAGTTCGTCCAAAAAATTCCGCGCATGCTGCCTGTTCACCGTCAGTGCTGAGCTGAGTCTCAAACTGTTCAGTTTTATTACTTCTTACACAATAATCTTATTACAATTCACTTATTTAAATTCTTAGTGTAATTAATAAAATGTCTATGTCGTGTCTGTAATCTGATCCTTTACCTAATGTATATACATATATGTGAGAACGATGTAACTACAATACAACGTCAAAATTTAATCCTACGAAGATAGGAAAAATGGGACTGCACGTGAAAAGTCGCAGGCAGAAGTTTGTCGTTTATAATAATAAAATGGTTAAACAATTACTTAATTGAGGAACCATCCCAAAGAAAATTAATTGAACTTTTCAATCAATACCTGAGAAGTTTTAATATTCTTTTAATCGATCAAACGTCACTACTGAGTACAACCGAACATACATCATTAACTGCTTTTCTATTAATACGAATGTGATCCTTATTGACATGTACAATAACATTGACAATTCTTCCAAATTATACTATTCGGTCAGTCACTCGTGACGAAATAATACTGTTACAATGTTTCCTAAAATATCATTAAATGTCCGCACTAAAAAGGACCAAAACATTTTACCCCGATCTCCTTTAAATTATCGTATAGATAAAGACATTCAAAGGATGTTCCACCCTTTTAACTGTCTTCTACTTTTACTATGCACTCCAAAATATGCCATAAAGAACAGTCAAATAGTTCCAAATGGAATGAAACGAACCATTCTATCATTTTTAAGTGTGTGCTACGTGTTGGCAGTATCCGTATATTACTTGTGTTTCCATGAACAGAACGATGTCTATGCAAGTGCCCATGAAGGTGGAATCGAGTTAGTAATCACAATTTTCTTACACATATTGTATCTTTCGATTACAATCATGATCTTTGTTCTTAACATTGTCCATAGTAAAGACATCATCTTGCTTATGGTTTTGATTCAGAAAGTATACAAGAGTTTCATTATCATAGAAGGTGTCGAGAGCTTTGTGAAGTGGAATTGGATATATGGGGGAATCACTTTTGTGGGTAATATTGGTATTTACACGGCATTTCATGTGTCTTCTAATAATAGTATTTTAACTCTACCACTGTTAATCCGCAATTGTATATACTCAACATTTGATGTGAACTGCGTTTACGCGATTCGAGTTTTGGCGCTATTGACCAAATATCTGAGTGAATGGGTGGACCAAATTACTCGTCTGAAAGAAGAACAAGTATCGTATATGAACAGCACAAAATTAGTGAACATTTATTTGGATATCTTAAAAGCGTATAAGCTGTATAAGACTCTATTTCAAGCGTGGGTAAGTGTCAAGATAAACATAACTTAACATCACTCCTTTTACCCCCAAAAGGGTAGCCAGAGGTGAATATAACGCCACTGTACAGTGTAACACCCACTTATCACTATTTATGTTAAGAGTCCCATGTAATAGGGGTGAGCCTATTGTCATATACCGGGCACAATCCAAAACTCGTGCTACTACTGAGATTAAAAAAAAACCAGTTAAAAAAGAAAACCCAATCCGGGAATCGAACCCGAGACCGAGCTAGTCGGATTTGCGAGTACTCGGCCACGAGGCAAACGAGGCAATTATGAAGATAAAATAATACAATTTTATGAAAATGACGTCTAATTATCTCCCAAAGTTAAAGAGATCAGCGATACCCATTTTAGTAGTTATTTTAAAGTTCCCTTGAAAGTAATAAAACAAATTCGAAGAGTCATTTGTTGGAAAGAAATTCAAATAGTTACATTTACAACTGAGTCGAAATTCAAATAGAAAATGTCATGTTGGCGGTTGCATTTGCTACCTACCATTTGTCATGGAAAGCAGTCGATTAGGTTCATCATATTTTTTTTACTACCTATTATTTTGTTTGCAGATTTTGTACACAACAACGAATGCAATTGTTCGTAATTTATTTTTTTTAGAGTCAATACTGTGTCAACTTGAACGTAAAAACTATTCACCAGCTAAGGTAACTATACCTTATTAATTAATATATGTCGCAGAATCAACAAAGATGCACAACTATCGAGTATCGTAATTTTAGAACAACGCCATCTGTTATCATTTGTCGGAAACGTCAAGCAGTGTGCTTGGGTGATGGTCGGTACGGGGCGTGGTATGTTGGCATTTGAAAGGCGTCACTTTTGAGTTCGACACGAGGGGGAGCGGTCTGCCAGCCCGTACCGAACTTACCGCGTTTACGAAGAATCCGATGACGAAGTACCCCCAATGGGTGAATTGTCTTCCACATATATATTATTTTTAACGTTATGATAAATGTTATTTTATAGTCCAGGAAACGTCTACTCACGTTACGTGCACCCGTACCCACACCCGCACTCACACCAGTACTCGTATTCGCTCTCATACATCCACAATCACGCCCACACCCACACAAGCACCTACACCCACACGTGCACAGACACCCGCGCGCGCAACCACACCCTCACTCACACTCGCAACCACACCTATTATTAGTTGTACGTACTAAATTGTATTTACTTTCAGTTGGTCATTTTCTATAAATATCCTGTTTTTGGTATTATGGCATCTCTCTGGGTGTTCAAAGATATCGCGCTCATCATCATTCAGTGTTTGCAGTGTGAGAAATTCTACATAGCTAATGAGAGAGCTAAAATTGCTTGTATATTACTTGTGAGAAATGAGAATTGTCCAAGTGAGTTACTTATTTACAACTTAGTAATCCAATTTAGCAAATATTTTTTTTATTGACTAGCGTAATGGTTTTATTGTTACTTATTAACAGCTTCAGAACATTTGTTACAATTCAAAACACCGCCTTCCAAGTAAACATCGTTTGTAAAACTACTAGTGACATCTGTACTGCATTACTGTTACTAATAACTTTCATTTATTAATATAGATGTCGCTATGTTTTCGAGTTATTATTTATCATTCAGTACTTTAAAGTTAAGAGATATATTATATTTAATTTAAGCTATTATTGTTATTTAAGCTATATTTAATTTCAGATGATCATAGACGGCTTTACAAGCAAGTACTGCATACAAATCGTGCATTTAGTAAGATGTCTGCTTACGGCCTGTTCTACGTCGATGCTCGACTGACAATATCTGTGGTTGGACTATTTACAGGCTATGTTATTGTTTTACTACAATTTGCTATTTTATGAAATGATTTTATGTAGTGTATGCATCTGTTAAATAAAGGAATTAATGTACAGGACCATTGTCTTTAATAAAAAATGACCAGTGAACTGCTACATAAGTATTTAATTCTTAACTCAAGCATTTCCTCTAGTAGAAGTCTTGACCCTGAATTATCTTTTTAAACGTGAATAGAAAAATGATATACACTACACATAATATTCCACGTGTCGTTACTATTATTTTTTATCAAAAATATTAAATATGAAAACGGGGCCGTAGTTTATTTTCCATATATTATATTTGTACAGTCATATTATTACATTAATAGAACCATTACAGAAATGACATACCCATACAATCGATATTTTAATCTTAATATACCTCAAATACTTTTCCGACAACACACGGAATCGTTGTATGTTTCTATATAATACACGTTCCTTAGCTATAAATACATAAAAACTACGAAGTCACAAACATGTATCATAAAACTCTAAAGTTTTTTCAAAGAAAACTATTTCGTCAACGAGTGTCAAGTTTGTGGTGTCCAGCTGAAGTGCCACTACGTCATAGTTTAGACAAAGATATACGACGAATATTTTATCCATTTCACATTCTGCTACTTCTGGTACTCTCCCCAAAATATACAATAAAGGATAACTACATCACCACCAATGGAACGATACGAAACCTTTTTTCTATTTTTATTGAGTGCATCGCTATTGGTATCTCTATCTATTACATTGGTTTTTCCAAAAAGATGAACGACTTATACTTACATTTCAATCATGGTGCCGATATATGCAGTCTCGTTTTTCTTGAAAGCTTGCTTAACATCTTCGGTTTTATCATCACTGTCATTATCAATCTCCTGTACAGACGAGACATGATTTTATTAGTCGTCAAAATTCAGAGAATACATGAAAATCTCCATATTAAAAATTATACTAATAGTTTTGTTATTTGGAACTGGATATGTCTAATTTTTATATGTATTGTCAACTTTTACATTTCGACGGTGGATCATTTACTATTAAATCTAAATGCTCTTGATCATTTACCGGTACTAATTCGAGATTTTGTATTCATTAACTATAATATCGAATGTGTTTACGCGATCTCCTTAATAATGTTGTTAAAAAAATATCTCAATGCGTGGATGAACTGTGTTTCTAATCTAATAAATAATGAAGGATGTAGTGACTTATTCGAAACTTACAAAAATATTATGGAGGGTTATGAAATGTACAAAAGTATTTTTAAAGTATTAGTTAGTATATTCCATATTTTTATTTGTTACAGCAAGTGTACTTTGTGGAATGATTCTAGCTTGGCGTTTGGTTCTTTTTACCAACTGATTCTAAATATTTTATTTTACTTTGACCTTTAATTAATAGCTAAAAATATTATTTACTGCCTCAAAAAGCTTTTTTATTGTTGTTTTTTCTTCAACGAATCATTTAAATATTCGACATTATGTTTCCAGATGGTCTATGCTACAATTAATGTATTAATCCGTAATTTGTGTTATCTGGGGACGATGTTAATCTTACTGGGAGATAGAAATGATAACGAGGTATAGTATCCATAGCAAATTAAATTTATTTTCTACCATGCGCCTCTAAGAAGTCATTGTCAAAACTCCAATGCTGGTCTATAAACATGACTATAGTTTGAGTGTCTTGGTGGTCTGGAAGTTTAAGATGCCCGCCGCTTATCATGTATATGTATATGTATATGTATGTATAATGTATATGTATACGTATGTAGCGAGTTCGAAGTCAAGTACCAATGAGATTTAGTCCGAGTAATATGTAGTTTCTAAGATGTAGGCACCAATGACAAATGGTGAAGGAAAACATAGAGGAAGCCCAGACATGTAATTTCTAATTATAAGTTTGAATTCGCCAACCCGCCTTGAGCAAGCGTAGTGATTAATGCTCAAACCGTGTGAAAACTGACGAACTTATGAATAATTTGCGATTGCAAATATAATAGTGCACTACCTAATCAAAGTTTGCTACTAATATAATCAAGGTTTTACTCTTTCAGCTATTTAAAATCTACTCGCATCCTAGTATTGAACTGGCATTGTTTTTGTGGGTCAGTAAGGATATTTTGCTCCTTATTGCACAGAGTATGGAGAGTGAGAAGTTCTATATAGCCAACGAAGAAGCTAAAGCTACTTGTATGCAGCTCATGAAAAATAAAAATTGCTCACGTACGTCTGGAAATTTAGATTTGATTAGACACGCTTCGAATAAAACTAATAATTATTTTATGAACTATCGACGTTTAAAAAACCAACTTTAATCTCTCTGTTCTGAAAGTCTGTATATTATTATACATACTAAAACCTTCTCTTAAGTGTAACAAATACTTTTTTTTAAAACCACATCAAAATCGGTGCAGATGTGCGGTCACTTTTTGGTTTATTTTTTTCAAACATTGGCCCACCTTCGGATTTTCTTCTGTATCGTGGGTGCGTTTACAAACATACAAGTTCATAATAATATACACATGATACTCAGACCCGAAATCATAATTAATGATCACTCTAAGAGCTGCTCCATGCGGGAGTCGAACCCGCTACACATTGCGCGGGTAGCCGTTTGCCCAGCCCCCGCGCGATGTGTTTAACTGAGAAACTCCTTCTTTGTTATTATTTTAATTAATAAAAACTGTAAAAAAGTGTTATTATTAATATATTTCACGAATAGTTGTTATAAATAAATGAATATTATTATCATTAAAGTTACTGACAGCGACATCTATGTCATTGTCATAATCATTGCCAGTGTTACAAGTTTTAATTTTATAATCTAGATGTCACTATGTACAAGTTGCGAAATTTATTTCTTATTTATTTTATGAACAATAATTTATGCCCGATTTTATTCCAGGTCATGAACAACGTCTATACAAGCAAGTGTTGCAAACAAATCGTACATTCAGTAGAATATCTGCGTGTGGCTTTTTCTACATCGACGCTCAATCAACAATATCTTTAATTGGACTTTTGACTGGCTATGTTTGTGTCTTATTACAGTTTGCTTTTCTATGAATACATTTTTTTATTAACGAGGGTGCGAGGAAACTTCAAAAATGGCCTAGCTTTTTTGTGGGATTCATACCTCACTAAAACCACCACGGTACCCACATCACCACATATGGGGGCACCGAGTGCTCTACAATAGACCTGTTCAGGAACCCCCACGCTTACAGTTTGCTTCCTCAAGCTTAGCATGATCACATGTCGTGAACGTGGCGTCAGAGAAGATGTTTATCTAATAAAAATGTCAATTGAACTGCTACATAAGTACTTAATTATTAACTCAAGCATTTCCTTTAGCAGAGGCCTTGCCCTTGAATTACCTAATGAGGCTAGAACAGAAAATTGATATACGCCACATGCCACATATAATTCCAAGAGCTACTATTAATATTTTCATCAAAAATATTTAATATAAAAACGAGGCTGAAATTTCTTTTAAATAAATTATGTTTATACAGCCATATTATTATGTTGATGGAACCATTACAGTAAATGAAATGTACCCATACAATCGTTATTTTAATCTTGATATAACTCAACTACTTTTCCGACAACACACAGAATTGTAATAATTATATTTTTCTATATATTACACGTTGCTAAGTTACAAATACTGGTTAACAACAAAATTACAAACATGTATCATAAAACTCTGAAGTTTTTTCAAAGAAAACTATTTCGTCAACGAGTGACAAGTTTGTGGTGTTCAGCTGAAGTGCCACTACGTCATAGTTTAGACAAAGATATACGACGAATATTTTATCCATTTCACATTCTGCTACTTCTGGTACTCTCCCCAAAGTATACAATAAAGGATAACTACATCACCACTAATGGAACGATACGAAACCTTTTTTCTTTCTTTATTGAGTGCATCGCTATTGGTATCTCTATCTATTACATTGGTTTTTCCAAACAGATGATCGACATGTACTCACGTTACAATCATGGTGCCGATATATTCAGGCTCATTTTCCTTGAAAGCTTGCTGAACAACTTCGGTTTTATCATCACTGTCATTGTCAATATCCTGTACAGACGAGACATGATTTTATTAGTCATCAAAATTCAGAGAATACATGAAAAACTCCATATTAAAAATTATGCCATTAATTTTGCTATTTGCAACTGGATACGGCTCATTTTTATTTGTAGTGCCAACTTTTACATTATGATCGTAGATCATTTACTATTTAATTTTAAGGCTCTTGATCATTTACCAATACTAATTCGAGATTTTGTATTCATTAACTACAATATCGAATGTGTTTACGCGATCTCTTTAATAATGTTGTTCAAAAAATATCTCAATGCGTGGACAAACTGTGTTTCTAATCTAATAAATAATGAAGAATGTAGTGACTTATTCGAAACCTACAAAAATATTATGGAGGGTTATGAAATGTACAAAAGTATTTTTAAAATATTGGTTAGTATATTCCATGTTTTTGTTTCTTTACTGAGTGTAATGGTTCTAGCTTGTTAACACTGATTAAACAATGTTTTTAAAATAGTTACTTAGAATTTAGATATTGTTTACTGTCTCAAAAGCTTTGCCATTGTTCTTTTCTTAAACGAATTATTTCAATAATAATGTACATTATAATTCCAGGTGTTATATGCTGCAATTAATGTACTAATTCATAATTTGTGTTATTTGGGGATGATTTTAATCGCGCTGAAAGATAAAAATGATAACAAGGTATAGTATTTAACAGTAAAGCAAATCAAATGTATTTTCTACATTATCAAATAAGCATGACTATAGTTTGAGTGTCGTGGTGGCCTGCAGGCTTAAGATGTCCGCTTATCATGTATTAGAGAGCGAGTTCGAAGTCAAGTATCAATGTGATTTTGTCCGAGTAATATGTAGTTTTCAAGATTATTTAGACACCACTGACACTGACCACATGGCGAAGGAAAACATCGTGAGGAAGCCGGCACTTGTAATTTCTAATTATAAGTTTGAATTCACTAACCTGTATTGGTGGTGATTAATGCTCAAACCTTCTCTATGTGAGAAGAGGCCATTGGTCAGCAGTGGCTACTTTTAGGATTATTGATAATAGTTTGAGACAAGCTTATGTGTCGTGTTGCATGAGTCGCTAAATGCTTGCAGACGATTGGTAGCCAGCCATGGTACGCGACATCACGCCACAACATTATTCTAGTATTCCTCCAATTTATGAATAGTTTGCGATTGCAAATATAAAGTGCACTAACTAATCAATTAGTTTGCTACTAATATAATCAAGATTTTACTCTTTCAGCTATTTAAAATCTACTCGCATCCTAGTATTGAACTGGCATTGTTTTTGTGGGTCAGTAAGGATATTTTGCTCCTTATTGCACAAAGTATGGAGAGTGAAAAGTTCTATATAGCCAACGAAGAAGCTAAAGCTACTTGTATGCAGCTCATGAAAAATAAAAATTGCTCACGTACGTCTGGAAATTTAGATTTGATTAGACACGCTTCGAATAAAATAATATTTATTTTATGAACTATCGACGTTTAAAAAACCAACTTCAACCTCTCTGTTTACAAAGTCCGTATATTGACATGCAAAAAACCTTCTCCTTCGTGTAACAAACACTTTTCTGAAAACCGCATCAAAATCGGTTCAGTCGATCGCGAAAACATCCCGCACACACCACCTTTTGTTATTTTCAAATGTTGCCCCACCCTAGGATTTTCTTATGTATCGTGGGTGCGTTTACAAACATACAAGTTCATACACACATGACACCCAGACCCGAAACAACAGAAATGGATCACTCAGAGAGTTGCGCCGTGCGGAAATCGAACCCGTTACATTTTGCGCTACCGCGTTACGTGTCAAACTGAGAACCTCCTTCTTTGTTGTCGAAGTCGATTAAAAATTATTTTTATTGTTAAAATCTGTAAAAACTTATAAATAAATATAGTTATCATTAAAGTTCCTGTCAGCGACATCTATGTCATTGTCACAATCATTGCCAGTGTTACAAGTTCTAATTTCTTAAGGTAGATGTCACTATGTACAAGTTGCGAAGTTTATTTCTTATTTATTTTATGAATAATAATTTATGCCCGATTTTATTCCAGGTCATGAACAACGTCTGTACAAGCAAGTGTTGCAAACAAATCGTACATTCAGTAAAATATCTGCGTATGGCTTTTTCTACGTCGACGCTCAATCAACAATATCTATAATTGGACTTTTGACTGGCTATGTTTGTGTTTTATTACAATTTGCTTTTCTGTAAATACCTGGTTTTGGTACACCGAGTCATCTCGAATAGACCCAGAATCCCCTATGTAAAACGCCTGTTGCAGCACATCCCTAAAGAAACGTGTGTCTCCCTTAATCCTCAATGTGCGGCACATGATCACTGTGCCGCCGTCTTCTCTGAGATCCCAGTGAACTCAGGAAAGACTATATTTTTTGTAAGTGTAAAAATACACGAAATTATTATTTCTATATTTCATTATGTGACTTTCTTATTTACTCTAGAAATAATGAAGTAAATTGAAATGCTACAAATGAAAAAGTAATTTACTTTCTTATAGACTAACAGATGTATTTTTATTTTACCTACTTTTAATTTCCACTAAATAATAATAATATAAGTATCAACATAAATTAAGCTCTTTAAAAGGCCTTGACACAACTGTCACTTACCATTATTATACTTTTCCTCATTATGATTGATCCGAATATTACAAATCCTAATATTATAACTTAACATATATGAATTATTGTCTACATTTACTAGTACAATTTTATTGTACACAAAAGTATTCAGAGTTCGACATTTAACGATCTTCGTAAGGATTAAGACGTTAACTAGACAATGATGGCGTTCAACAGTCTACTAATGCAAGGAAGAAAAAATAACAAAAGAAACTTAAGTTATGAGCTGGACAAAGAAATACAAAGAATATTATATCCAATTGACTTACTACTGCTTCTACTGCTGTCCCCAAAATATACAATAAAAGATAACCACATTACTACGATTGGAAAGAAACAAATTATTGCATCGTTTCTGAGCTTGTGTTTCGTCACTACAATAACTTTTTACAGTTTGCTTATTCATGATTTGCTTAGCATGATCACAGGTCGTGAACGGGGTCTCGCCGTTTATATTATCAATGTACTCGTAAACTCACTCTTACTTATCGGTTTTATAATGATTTTTATCCTAAATGTCGTCACTAGCCGAAAAAATATCCTTCTAATTGTAAAAATCCAAGAAATACATAGAAAAATGGATTCTAGTTATATCTCTAGTTTTGCTGTTTGGAACTGGATACTTGGTGTTTTTATTTTCAGTCTAAACGTCTTTATGTTTACGGCGTATCATGTAATGATGTATATAATAGACCGAAAAATTCATATTATAAATTGGTTTGTATTAATCCGGAATATAATTTTCACTAGTTTCGATCTCAATTGTGTTTACGCTATTCGTTTAATAGTTTTGTTGAAAAATTATCTCAGTGTTTGGACGATAAAAATATTAAGCTTCGAAGAACACGAACACAGCGACACTTTTGCAATTTACAAAAATATTTTGGAAGGGTATCGTTTGTACAAAAATGTTTTTCATGTATTGGTAAGTAAGTATTTAAGTAATGAGTTAGTATAGGTGAATTATTATAATTTTCGGCTTACTCACGTAATTATTTGACGAGGACCTCGACTGATGTGAGTCAAACACAAATACTGGAGATGATCCTATTGAATATATTTTGTTATTTTAATTGCAGATACTCTATGCTGCAAGCAATGTTATATTTCGTAATATATGTTATTTGGGTATGATGTTAGTTTACGCGAACATGCCCAATGCATCGGAAGAGCTGGTAGGTAACCATACAGTCACTTTTGCAAGTAAAACTATAAAAAATGTCTTACAATTATGTCTTTCAACCAATTTATCCCCCAGTGCAGTTATTTGACAATTCAAGGCGGAGATTAACCTGAGATAAAACTACAGTTTTTTTAAGTTGCGGAATATGGACT